ATTGGTATGTTTTTGGAACTAGATGTTGCTAGTTGTTATAATTTTTATATTAAAAATAACTTCCAAAATATAATTTTTTATTTTTATATTTATTAATATATCTATTTTGTTTGTGCAAAATAATAAAAAATAATTTCGAACGATATAATAATCACAATTATTTTTTTTAATGTAAAATTTTTGTTAGGCTTAACATTGACAAAAATTCAACATGGCAGCCACACACAATGGAGAAAAATTTCAACATTGGATAGGTTAATAATGATACTTACTCTTTCTCTATCAAATAAATCTCTTCTATCTGAGTCCCAATCAACATCTCTAGATTTTTCATTAACAGAATCTTCTCTGCTCCAATTAGAGTCACGATTTCTTTCATCTCTTTCATGATCAGTATCTCTCTCATTTTCCGTTTTCTCATAATTTCTAGATTCCCTCAACCGATTTTTCTCATCATTTCTAAAAAATACATTTCTTACTATCAATTTTTATTATTATAAAATTTTAATTAATTATTTGTTTTAATTGTAAATCAGTTTTGTGGGTGATGAACTGTTATGTCAACAGGTGTTCAGTTATAAAATAATCATCATTTTATAAAGATAAGAAAATTAACTTAATGATGAAAACTAAATAATACTTATTTTAAATAAATAATTAAAAGAAGATATTATTATAATTCAATTCATTTACTTTAAATTTTAAACTATTTAATAAAAAAACTCTTAACCTACTTTATAAATACTTCAATTTAAAAATTCATACCTAGAATCCTTTTTTTGGGGAGTAGGTGCATCCTCTTCATCACTGAAGACAAGTTTAGCACTAAATAGAAAATGAACTTTGTGTTAAATTCATGTATGTTTATAAAAATTTGTTTACTGAAACAATTACAGTCTCAACTTTAAAATGAAACACAACATAATAATTTTTAAAATGACTATTTTGTTTGTCTTGAAATAAATAATCTTATAATCAATCTATTCCTCAATGTAAAAGAAAAACTATTTCTGTAAGAGAAAAATGTACCCATCTTGCTTTGTTGCTGCAGTTGGGGTACAAGTGTTTAACATCTTTTAGTATCTCTAGGACAGGCACAAGAACTGGCTTTTTTCAAGAGTGGTCAAGAATACACCTTGTCTGTAAATCCACACAAGACCTTTAGGCAAGTGCAATGAAATCTGTTGGAAGATATGTTATCTCATGGCCAAAATGCAACAGTTACAAGTACAGTACAGTGAAACCTCACTTAACAAGCAAAACAACTTGTAAAAAAATGACTCGCTTAACGAGTGATGTTTCGCATAACAAGTGTCAAGGAGAGGGAAAGTCCCAGATTGTGTGCAAGCTCCATCAGTCTGTGTTTAGTACTTGTTCCACTAGCATCTTAGTGTCGCTCATGATCACACATTTTTCCAAACTTGTGTTCAGTCATATTACACACAAACATCAACAACCATAGCCTGTTATATAATAATAAACATAGCCACTCCAATAAAAATATAGTCAAGTACACTCATTTTGCACTTTCAGCACAATCCCTGTATAATATTTAATTAAAATTAAAAAAAATCACAATACTGCTTAGCATCAAATTGTAACAGGCACACACACACATATATATATATATATATAAATAATATAAACAAACTGTGTTTACTTCCTAACTTTTTATTAAAACTTTCAGTAAATTTTACTGCTTTTATTATCTCAATCTATTTACTGTATAAATCAATATTTTATTTTTTAAAAATTAATAAAAATTCAAACTTACTTATAATCAATTTCTCCATGTGCAGAGGCCCATCCATCTTGTGAATCATTCTGCAGAATCTCATCAAACCCCTTTAAATCTTTGTCTGTAATTATAGCTGCAGGTCTTTGATAAGCTTCTTCTTCAGCCAGAGGACGCATAGAATTTCTTATCCTATGAAACAAAGCATTTCTATAATAAATTTTAGATAGTCCAAGCTGTTTTGTAACTAGTAACTTAATATGCTAATTAATCTCAAATACCATTTTTTTTATGTTTTTAAAAATAATGAACCATTTATATGAATTCATGAAACTGTATTCTCAGTAGTTAGATTTTCATTATTAAGCTTGTCTATTTCAAATATACAAACAATACCAATTACTATAAAACAAGTTACATTCTGTAATATGCTTAAATTAAAAGAATAAATGAATAAAAAACTACTTTGCAATTCAGTATGATTTATAATATATACTAAACACAACTTAACCTGTCCTGTGTTATTCACAACAATTCTCGAGGGTCATGACATCTGACTTTGAATGTTTGACCTGAGATATCTCATTACAGTATCAGTACGTTGACGGCCGAACGGTCAAGGTGGCAGCCTACCACTCTGGGGGACCCGGGATCAAATCCAGACGAGTTGAATAATCCCCAGAAATTTTTTGGGGGGATTGTTCGTCCAGATATGTCAGACCCCGTCCGTCACCANATGTGAATTTCAAAAAATGTTGCAAATTTTCACAGACAGATGTCAGTTCTGATATATTATAATTTTTTTCTATTGAATTTTTTTATGGAAATGTATTTTAAAATATCGTATTTATAACTACAGATATTAATAAATGTAACGTGATTTTTGTCATATGAATATAACAATAACTTGATTTTTGGTGAATTTTTGAAATAATATAACTTGTTGACCTATATTGACCTTGGCCCTTCTAGACAATAAACGTAAACACAGGGGCGTGGTAACTGCTTCTAAGAAGGTTAAGACTATGGAAAAGTAAAGTGTAAGTTTTTATTTATATTCTACTTTCTCCAATGCACAATAAATATTTATATAAATTATTTACCCGGCAAACCACCTGTCTGTCTTCTTTCTCTTCCCCAATAATGAGTGTCTCGTTCATATTGCAAACTTTGATCAGGTGTTCTCCTGTCACTATCATAACTATCTGTGCCAGAACCTTGACTATCCGATCTTCCACTAGATAATGGCTTAGGAGGAACAGCCATTCCTATTAAAAACAAATATTTACAAATCTATATTTTCAATTTTACTACATTTTAAATTTACAAATTCTTTTCAGCTATTCATTTTTGTTTTTATATTAAAAATTTGGCACTCATTTATCAGATAATTTTTCAAATAGAGAAAATATAGTCTCTCTGTGTTCTAATAGAATATTGTTCCTAAAGATCTATACAGGTCACTACCAGTAGTTACGATCTAGAGTTATAAGTACTTGTAGATATATACTTATGTTGTGTATAATATTTTGAATAAACAGTGAAACTTTGATATAGTGACCTCTTAAATAGCATCTCTCTAATATTATGAATGCATGTGTAAAGATCTTCCCATTCATATTAAATACCTTTTAAAAAAATAGCAGCTATAATTTTAAAAAATGTGTTTCTTTTTACCTGTAAGTTGATTCATATATGGTGGCGGAGGGGGCGGCGGCGGCATATTTCCCCAATGTGGACCATATCCAACTCCTAGTGGAATAGGTGGTGGTGGTCCTGAAGATTGTTGCTGTCTCATAAACTGTGGCGGTGAAGATGGCTGTTGCTGATGCTGTTGCCTTAACAACTCAGCTTGTTTCTGAAATCGTGGTGGAACATTTTTTTGAAATTGTCTTGAAAAGCTGAAACCCTATAGAAAATTTATTTTAATAAAATTAATTTTAACATTTGTAGGCAACTGAAATTTTTTTTATTTTCTGACCAATTGCTATTGAAACAAAGTTACTTCTATTACAAAGAAGTAACTAAACAATTGAATAATAAGAATAATAGTATTAATATAAAACTTTTCAAAAGAATCTAAGTAACTGTTTTTGAAGTACAGTTATGAAAACTCCAATTCAGTACTAAAGAATGCAATATCACAGATTTCAAACAATATCAGACTAAAATTAATCAAATTTGTTTCCACATTATGAAAAAAGAATTAATTCTTATATCCTTCAAAAAGTATACTAGTTAATTTATCTTGCAATCAAAGGTTTGATAATTTTAATATCTCCTTGATAATTCCTCAATGTTTACTACTCTTGACATTTTTACAATCATGAAAATGTTATATCAATGCAGTAAACAAGGAAAAATGCATATGTCAATTCCATGCTTATTTGATAATTCTTTCATGGAGTTATTTAAAACAATGATTCAATCAAGCAAATAGTTTTTTTGATAAACTACACTGTAGAAATTGTCCCTGCTTTTTAAATTTCTAAACTTCTCAAAATTTCAAATTAAAGTAGTAACAATTGACAGAGCTTAATTAAATCTAAACTTGATCTATTTGACAGTGAAAAATCCATTAAGATTAACTTATGATATTTTATTTAATTTTAAAGCACTGAAAAATTCAATTTATGTCATTCAGAAACAAATATATTCAAAGCCATTATCAATACTTATCTAAATTTCATAATAATTGTATTAATAAAAACTATTTTAGTAACAAACAATTTCATAAGAAATTTAGATAAGTCATAATTCTCAATCATCATAAAACTTTATTTACTTTTTTTGGATGTGTGCATGTGCACAAGCACAGTCAAATTTAAGAAATAACAATAATCTCTACAATGTTTACTTCTAAATTCATTACCATTGTCAATAATACAGATTACATAAATTTTAATGCATACTTTTAAAGAAAGTTGTGCATTAAAATAAACCAGAATTTGTTTATACAAACTGATCTTTTTCTACTTTTATGTGACATACAATAAAGATTTCAAAAGAAACTAAATTAATAAGTATATATTAGAAAATATTTATTAATATAGTCATATAAAAATTCTTTTAACAATGTAAGAAAATTATTACAACATTACCTGATAACCACCACTCTGAGGACGGTCTCTATCATTTCTTTCTCTGTTATCACGCGTTGAAGTTTTTTCTTCCCTATTATCACCAGAATACTGTGCTCTATCATTTTCTTCAGAATCAGTAGCATCTTTTAACTAAATAAAAAAAAGTTTACATTGCATTACTTTGTATACAAATGACTAAATTTATGAACATTAAACTAAATAGTAATTAACTACCAGACAAGTTTTAGCACCATGATATATTTTGTGTATATTATGTAATCACCTATATTTTTTTTCAAAGTAGGACAAATTAGTGTGTCAATATTTTAATATTAAAGAATTTTTGTCGTATAATATTTAATTATTATATAAGACAACTATATATTTATAGAAATTATGACATTGTTTAATAATATATGTAAAAAAAAATTAGTTATTTTATAAAGGTTCAGTAAAGTTACCATTTTGAATACTTCATAAATAAAGTAAAAAATAAAATATATCATATTGTACACAATGAAAATTTATATTTAATATTCATAATATAAAACAGTAATATTTAGTAAGTACAGAAGTTATTAGAATTCTCTGATAAATATACCAAATTTTTATGAAAACAATCAAAAAAGAAAACATTTAAAGTAGCAGCATAAATGTACTGAAATAAGTAACAAGTAAATGCTTTTAAAAATATTCAACACACTAATTTTGAATTCGTTTAAATGTATATATTATACAAAGTGACTGATTTATTCTCTTTTCACAAATGCTAACCTGAGAAGCAATCAGTAGAAATGGCTCATATATCATTATTGCAAAACAGTGAGTGAATGTGAAAGCAATGAATCATACATCCCAACTTCCAATATGTCACCACTCTAATTTAAGATTTCCATAAACTATCTTAATTTTATTATAGTATGATATACTAGGAGGACACCCTGCATACATGAATATCATGAAATGCTGATTTGTTGGTATTTGATTCCTGCCAATGTTACGTCACTAATTATGTCAAAGCATCAAATTATGGGAAATAGGAACAGAATAAGAAACATGAATTTATATCTGGGACAGAGTTTCTTGTTGCAATAATTCACCATGTCTATGCTTAACATGGGGTTTCATTTTCCATGAGTTGTGATGCAATTAGTGATGTAGCATTGTCTGGAATTGAATACAAAACATTTCACATTTTCTATTCATACTATTCATGTATGCTTTCATTCGAAATCAGTTGTGCTATACAACTTTGTAACTGACTCTTTTCCCTGTATCATGCATTATATTTGAGATAAGAGTGCCAACTTCCAAATTCTACCACTAAGGAAAATGCAAGTCATTTCATCTTGTAGTGCATAGTTACTTTATATCATGTTCTTAACTGTAGTTATCTGCATTCATCAGTTACACAGGTTTATAAAGACTTAACTATGCATCCTGTATACAGAAAATGTAATCAAATTTATGAAATTAATCTAAAGTAATAAAATGTATAAATAGTAAAAATTTATATTCTTCTAAAATTCTTAAAATTGTGAATATTTATTAATTAACATACCTTTTCATTTCCTTCAGAAAGACTTTTCAACTTCTCTTGAGCTGTTTGTTTGCTTTGTTCATATCGCTTTTCCTCTTCCTCACGCCGCTGTCTTGCTCTTTCAACTGCTAAAGTCATTTCATCTGAATGTTGCCGTCTGCGCTGACGCCATATTTCATCTTCATCAGTAAGGGAAGGTGGACGCCCTGAACGACTTTGCCTCGGTGGTGGCGGTGGTGGTGGAGGCGGCGGCGGTGGATAACCAAGATGCTATAAGAAAAACAGAAAAAATATGTATATTTAATCAGGTTTCAAACAAAAATTATTATGATTATGTACTGTACTAAACCATAGGTGCTGAGGGACATCCAATGGACTTTCGAGTGGTACAACTCACTTATGAACTTTTGTGGTGTTTAAGGACACCCTTGGACTTTTGTGGTGTTGAGGATACCATAAACTTTTGAGTGGTAGAACTCACTACTTATTTTGTGGTGTTTAGAGACACCCTCAGACTTTTGCAGCTCTTCTCACCCATGGACTTTAGTAGTGCTGAGAATACCCATGGACTTATGAAAAGTTCACAGTGACAGTCTGATATGTGTTACTCTGCTTTCTTACGTATCAATCTCATACAGGAGTCTTCAAAGACTGATTGAAAAACTTCCTGTCAACTGGAACATTGCTGTTCTAGACACTTTCTTTGCCATGGGTTTGATTTTTATATTTAATTTTTAATTGTTAATATAATATTACATATTAGCATTTATGCTTTATTGTTAATTGTTTTACAGCAAACTGTTGTTACTTTATCAGCTGTTGTAACATTATTGTTATACTTTGTAACAGTATGTTCTAATTATACTTTGTATTGATATATATATATAACTCGGCATGTAAACATTTGTGATACTCTTCTTGTAAAAAGACTTGCAAACTTCTATGTGTCAACCAATTTCTGTTAGTACATAGTATTACTCATGTTATTACTATCTATGTTTGTAAATCAACAAATGTACTTAATTATTAAGAATTGTCATGTAAAATCAAAACATATACCTGCAATTTTACAATGATACTGTACTGTTATTTTATGTCTGTAAAACCAACTAACAAATATATTGTATTATAATACCTGATTATGCACTTACGACATCAGGTTATGTAACCTTGTTACATTAATAAATCTAAATGAATGAATGAATGAAAAATGTACTAAACCATATATATAAGCATTATATAACTAAAGTATTTCATTACTTTATAATAAAAATAAAAGAGGTATTTTCATAGTATTTATCTTGTTCATACAAACACATATGTACTGAATAAAAATGGCTTTGAATGATTTAATTATAAATTTTTTTTAACATTTAACAATAAAGGTTGAGATATATCTATAAATATCCCTAAATTTCATTCACAAATATTAGTGATTTATTACAAAATTTTAAATTTTGAATAATGAAAAAATAATTATTATATAATTATTAAAATATTATTACAGTACTAAAAAGAATAACTAATCTGAATATTGAAATAATATGGCACATGGAAAACTTTTTTCTAACAGCCGATTGTTATGATTTATCAAGAATATAGCTAACAAGTTACAATATAGTAATTGCTATTTATAAATTTATTACATAATTACGAACCTTATGTAAATGTCTAAGTTAATAAAACTATATCCTGCAAATAAATATCTAACAACAAACCTGCTGAGAAGAAGCTGGTGGAACTGGTCCAATACGATTATGAGGAGCAGGATAAGGACCTGCCTGAGGTCTTGGAGGTGGTCCTCTATAATCAAATGGAACTCTCTGTTGGGATTGATTTTGCCATTGCCTTTGCATATCAACATTAAGAGAAGGAGCAGATCTTCCTTGAGACTGCTGAATCCAATTTTTCCATCTATCGTCCTATAAAAAAAAAATTAGTATATCATTGAACTATAAATTTTATCAATACAAAAGTAAGATTGTTAAAACATGCACTATAAAAACATATTAACTTTGACAAAAATTTACCTAAGTCATATAATTATGATTTACAGAAATTTGCAAAACAAAGGATATGTTAATAAAAATCTAAACAAAAATCAAACTTCATTTTTACAACATTCAAGAACACAGAATTGACAAAAATGGTTTCTTCTGTCTGTAAATTATAAAACCTGGTCTGTAGTTAGTGCTTTTCTGATTTTAGTCTTAAGGCCAACCAATCAGAGTTTAAAAGTGCTCTGAATTAAATTGGCAGAGTTTGGAGTTTATGCATTGTTTTAGTTTTGCTTCATTTTCAGCAGACCATTCATTTTTGTATACTTTCAGCTAGTACCAGAATCATTCAATTGGATGCTTAATGCAATTGAATCTTCCAGTATAATGATGTTCTCTTTGCTGACAACAAAAATTGCATCTGTTGTGTAAAGTACAGGTACAAGGTCCTGAGAGAAGATATAAAGACTATTTGGGTGGTGCTTTTTCAAAAATGGGATCAGCCTCTTAACATATTCCTTTATGTACACTTCTTTGTTGGTGCAGAGACAAGAGCATGCTATGAATGCTCAAAATCTTCCTTTTGGATTGATTGCTAATACATGTTGTTGCCAGTAGAGAGTCACATAAGAAGGAAAATATAACAATAGCCAGACCATTTGAAGCTTTAAAATTTTCATTGCACATTTTTCTCAGTAGAGTCCTTTGCAACTTCAGATTTTTTTTTTACTTTTTGATGACTTTCACTTCTGAAGGACAATATTTTGCTCAACAGTAATGTTTTTTAATGTACTGATAAAATATTTGAACTTTCTTCCACATTTTTTTCAGTGGAATGTCTAACTTTTCTGACGCCTCTCTTTCCAATGACTCCCTTTTCCTATCTGTCATTTTAATTCTCTTTTGCCCACTTCCTGAATCTCAATAGTTTTAACCTGCTTTCCAGCTATTCTATGATGCTGTAAATTGACTGACTTGCCTTTTGCCAAAATGCTTATCTATGAAGCTTCTCTTTTTCCTCATGTTATTTGTAAAGTTCACCAACTACAATTTTTTTTCACCCTTCATTAACCTATGTCATTTTAAATTTTGATTAATATTGTTAAGACAACAAATTTAAATCTACAGAATCTGAGCAAGAATCTATACTAGCACATTCTTACATTAAAAAAAAGAAAAGCCTACCAAATTCGCACAAAGTCTTAGTTTTTATAGGCGTGTAATGTATAAAAATGTTTTATAAATAACCCAAATTAAATTTTTTTGCATTATATTTAAATAATGACTAAGTTTAAACTTTCCTTTCAAAGTACCAGCTTACCAAAAACAAAGCTATTTATTTATTTGGAAATTAAATCACTTTAATATACTAGACTTTCTTGCAATTTCTAATCATTGAATATTTCATATGACAAAAATTTTCTTGGGATTTTAATTTTATATCATCTAATCAAATTTTAGTGTCATGTTTCTCATTTAAAACTTTAAATAAAAAAAAATATTTTGCACGTGTTTTTATTGAATACACTTATGAACTTTCTTAGAGACCTTTACAGAGAGAAGTCCAACCCTACTCAAGACATGATACACTACCACCTTTATCTCCCCACCCCATTGACTTTTAACCATCAAAATTTAATAGCATCAATCTCCCTAATATACAAACTCCCTGCAAAATTTCAAAAATTTTCAACAAAAAGCACAGGAGTTATTAATTTAATTAATTAAGCTTCAAAGAAAGTGAACAAAATTGTGCATCACACACACAGAAACCCCCTTTTTTTTGTTGCAAATCTCAATGTTTCAAGGTCCCAAGTCCAAAAATGAAAAAATGTTGAAGGGGTCATTTTTTCAACATAATACCTTCCTTCTGTTATATATAAAATAGAGCCAGGAAAGTAAAAATTCAAAAACTTAATTTTAACAGCAGTTATNTAGTGAATTATAAGGTTATTATGATTAGAAAAATTGTTTAAATGCCCTGTCAGAAGTGACAAATATTCAAAACTGTAAATTACAATCGTTGGGCAATTTTTTCAACTCAGATATTTTGGTTCTTAATTAAAGTTCAGTTCTCTTCTTCAATAGACAAGAACCTTGCATACAATTGAGAACAGTACTGTTTGAGGGTTGATAAATGAGAAACTATACCACTTGTGTTAGTCTTCAAATCTTACAAATATCCCTGTTAAATGGTACATAAAGTAGATTCCTAGCAACTAATAATCCTCTTTCCTTTGTCAATAGATATAAAAAGGATTCCAGTCTTTGCATCTTAGGAGTTGGCTCACTTGGAGATGGACAACATCTCAAAGTTACCACACTGTTCGAAGTAGAACAAAAATTCAACGACAGAGGTGTTCAGTGTTCCTTATATTTTAAAGTAAACCAGGAAGCAGTACACAGTATTATTAATCAAAGGAAAAAAAGAATAAACACCAATTAAAAAAAGAAGTAAAAGTGCAGACACAATTCTGCCAGCACTGAAGAAAATAAAACAGCACTCCAAAACTCTTTTATCAATGAAATAGCAATAGCAGCTTAATACTTAAAGAATTTTGGCATTAAAAAGCTTATGAAGAGGTTCTCTGGCTATTGAGAATCTTAAAAAATCTTTTGTCGATTCCACATCTAATTGAAACAAAATTATTGCTTTCTGCACTATTCAGGAAAACTGCATTCATCATAAACTACAGTATTACCATTCATACCTTTAAAAATGAAGTATGATTTTTGATGCCTTTACCTTTAAAAATGCAAATTTTTAATGGTAAAGGCATTTAAGGCAAGTTAAATTTTTGATGTTCTAAAGCATTAATATTTGAAATGCAACTTGTTCCAGAGGACAGCTTTTGTTCCTATTTTTAAATTGTAATCAGTTTTTTTATCCTGAGGAAGGTTGTTTAAAACAACCAAAAACAGTAGGAAAATTAAAATCTTACTGCATTTTTAAAGGTATGAGTGGTAGTACTATAGTTTATTGCATTCTGTTTCTTAATTACCAAATTCATCAAAAAATGTATGGTTTGAAAAGATTGCGCTTGGTCAATATCAGCTGTGTCTTTTCTAAGGGAGACAGGATAGGATAGGTGTGTAGTAATTTTGTTATACATGTGAGTACTTAAGTTGAACCCTTTGTATCCTGTAACAAAAGTGTATCCTGGAGGATAATTAGGAAAATAGGGGCAGGCTAGAGGGATGATCTATGGATTTAAATCAGTTGCACACATTTTTATTTCTGATTTTTATACTTTGATGGAGAATGTTTTCCGGAGAGTTTGGATTTTTTTTCTGAAATAATGAGCACTTCCATAAAATAGGAAGCCTGTAAAAATCCAGATTTGCAAAATAGTATGCAATATGCATAGATTTATGGATGAACAACAAAAACATTTGTTGCTTCTTAGTAATGTTAAATCACTGATTAGACTAATGTTGAAATTTAGATATGTTTGGATTTTGTGTGCAATTTAATACTTTATGTAATCTTTGCCTTTATTAAAAATAGCCCTAGTCTTTGACTTACAAGTTTAAATAATAATCAAATTTTCTCTTAACTTTTTTATAATCATGTTTAAACACACTGCTAAATTATTAAACAATTACATGAATTAAACTGACTTTATGTTTCGTCACAAACTAGACAATCGTCAGAAAATCGTAACATATTGAACTATGGTTTTGACCTGCAACATCTCTCCTCTTTTCTCATTTTTATTTTTTAATGCATAATATAGTATTTAGGATAAATTATTCCTTTGTTCATTAAGCAACAGTTAATTCACCTCAAATAAAAGGTCATCTCTGTAAGTGAAGAATGTTTTTTGATTTGTCACTGGTAATTGTGAAACAATGATTTTATGAAGACAAAAATTTTTTGTATTCTTCAGTAATCTTCTTAGTGTTTGAGAGAAAAAGAGATAGGTTTGAGGACTGTAGCCCAACTTGTCGGCTTGGTTTCCAAGTGCAGGTTACTGTATCGTAACTAATGATAAAATTAAACTAGGTCTGTTTAACCTGTCCTGTGTTGTTCCTGACATTTTTCGGGGTCTTGACCTCTGTCCTCGAATGTTTGACTTGTTACAGTATTGGTATGTTTTTGGAACTAGATGTTGCTAGTTGTTATAATTTTTATATTAAAAATAACTTCCAAAATATAATTTTTTATTTTTATATTTATTAATATATCTATTTTGTTTGTGCAAAATAATAAAAAATAATTTCGAACGATATAATAATCACAATTATTTTTTTTAATGTAAAATTTTTGTTAGGCTTAACATTGACAAAAATTCAACATGGCAGCCACACACAATGGAGAAAAATTTCAACATTGGATAGGTTAATAATGATACTTACTCTTTCTCTATCAAATAAATCTCTTCTATCTGAGTCCCAATCAACATCTCTAGATTTTTCATTAACAGAATCTTCTCTGCTCCAATTAGAGTCACGATTTCTTTCATCTCTTTCATGATCAGTATCTCTCTCATTTTCCGTTTTCTCATAATTTCTAGATTCCCTCAACCGATTTTTCTCATCATTTCTAAAAAATACATTTCTTACTATCAATTTTTATTATTATAAAATTTTAATTAATTATTTGTTTTAATTGTAAATCAGTTTTGTGGGTGATGAACTGTTATGTCAACAGGTGTTCAGTTATAAAATAATCATCATTTTATAAAGATAAGAAAATTAACTTAATGATGAAAACTAAATAATACTTATTTTAAATAAATAATTAAAAGAAGATATTATTATAATTCAATTCATTTACTTTAAATTTTAAACTATTTAATAAAAAAACTCTTAACCTACTTTATAAATACTTCAATTTAAAAATTCATACCTAGAATCCTTTTTTTGGGGAGTAGGTGCATCCTCTTCATCACTGAAGACAAGTTTAGCACTAAATAGAAAATGAACTTTGTGTTAAATTCATGTATGTTTATAAAAATTTGTTTACTGAAACAATTACAGTCTCAACTTTAAAATGAAACACAACATAATAATTTTTAAAATGACTATTTTGTTTGTCTTGAAATAAATAATCTTATAATCAATCTATTCCTCAATGTAAAAGAAAAACTATTTCTGTAAGAGAAAAATGTACCCATCTTGCTTTGTTGCTGCAGTTGGGGTACAAGTGTTTAACATCTTTTAGTATCTCTAGGACAGGCACAAGAACTGGCTTTTTTCAAGAGTGGTCAAGAATACACCTTGTCTGTAAATCCACACAAGACCTTTAGGCAAGTGCAATGAAATCTGTTGGAAGATATGTTATCTCATGGCCAAAATGCAACAGTTACAAGTACAGTACAGTGAAACCTCACTTAACAAGCAAAACAACTTGTAAAAAAATGACTCGCTTAACGAGTGATGTTTCGCATAACAAGTGTCAAGGAGAGGGAAAGTCCCAGATTGTGTGCAAGCTCCATCAGTCTGTGTTTAGTACTTGTTCCACTAGCATCTTAGTGTCGCTCATGATCACACATTTTTCCAAACTTGTGTTCAGTCATATTACACACAAACATCAACAACCATAGCCTGTTATATAATAATAAACATAGCCACTCCAATAAAAATATAGTCAAGTACACTCATTTTGCACTTTCAGCACAATCCCTGTATAATATTTAATTAAAATTAAAAAAAATCACAATACTGCTTAGCATCAAATTGTAACAGGCACACACACACATATATATATATATATATAAATAATATAAACAAACTGTGTTTACTTCCTAACTTTTTATTAAAACTTTCAGTAAATTTTACTGCTTTTATTATCTCAATCTATTTACTGTATAAATCAATATTTTATTTTTAAAAAATTAATAAAAATTCAAACTTACTTATAATCAATTTCTCCATGTGCAGAGGCCCATCCATCTTGTGAATCATTCTGCAGAATCTCATCAAACCCCTTTAAATCTTTGTCTGTAATTATAGCTGCAGGTCTTTGATAAGCTTCTTCTTCAGCCAGAGGACGCATAGAATTTCTTATCCTATGAAACAAAGCATTTCTATAATAAATTTTAGCAATTAAAATATTTTTTATTATTGTGATGTAATAATAAATGTTAATTGCAAGAGAATTTGTTTAAATTTTTCACAGCAGAATTTAAATATTTAATGGTTTTAATTAAAATTCTTAATAGAATACAACAGAAATAAATAAAAAAGTTTAAAATATAATTCAATTATTTAATTTTCTTGTTAACCAATAAAACTAACTAAGTATTACATGCATGAAAGTCAATTTCTATATGGAATGTTACATTTATGTTATACTTATTGTACATACTGGATAAATAGGATAAAAAAATATTTTCACGTTCTATTTTATGGTAACTGGGGAAGATCAGTTAAAATTATCGAAAATGTTTTTATTTTAGTAAATTTTATTTGCTGTATTTTTATTTGCTGCTGTTAAAGGTGTGTTTTTTATACATTTATGTTATTTAAATAAATTCTGATATGTATTTCATCATTAAATACATTTTCAATAGTTAGAAGTTGCATACCATATTACCAATAGAAGTTGCATACCATATTACATTCAACACTAACATTAGCTAATATGCCATAAAAATGAACTGGATTAATTATTAAAATTTAAATGCTTATTCTTATATAATAAATTTTTATTTAAAAATTACCAACAAAAATATTTTTTTACTAACCTGTTTTCTGGATAGTAAGATGGTCTGTTTGATGGAATTCCAGAATAATTAGGATAATTCCCAGGAAAATTTCTGCCATACATCTGAAGTAATTTTGCTTCATTAATAACTAATAATTAAAAAATAAGTTTATTTATTTCAACAAATTAAACTTACATAAGGAGGTATCATTCCCCTAAACTGGGGCAGTTGAGGGTGGAGACCGGAACCAGGACCTAGCTGGCCAGGCATGCCATGTCCAGGACCAGCAGTTGGACCCAATCCTTGAGCAACAGAACCAGTACCACTTGAACTTGCATTTGATGTTCCTAAACTGTTTGTAGGTAATGACCCTCCTCTTGTGGTTGTTGGATATGGCTTTTGTTCTCTCGAATGATTTTCTGTGGCATTCTGCTGACCGTTTACGCCACTGCCATTGTTCAGTGGCTGGCCTCCGCCTGATATCCCTGGCTGTCCTTGAGATATTGACTGAGGTGGTGGTGATGGAGGGTGCTGTGGAGAAACTGAACTTGGTGGAGGTGGTTGCTGCTGTTGAAGAGTGCCACGTCCCCAACTTCCCTCTGCTGCAGATTAAAAATTAATTATTTTGTTTTTTATCACATTAACATTTTCAAATAAGTTGTGCTTATAAATAGAGTAGCACTGATTTATATTCAAAAATGTTTTTCAATTTTAATTTTGATCTAGTTTTATTTTTAGTTACCATGTTAAATGCTATTGACTATTATCAAAACTATGTTATATATTGAAAATCTATCAGAATGCACAACTGTTTCTAGTCATCAATATGTCATTATCAATAGGCATTTTTATTATAAATCTTGGATTTTGTTTTAGGAAATATCATTACAAAACAATCATTTTCAAACAGTGTTGGAGAGTATCAAAATCCATTATTCTGCTTCTTTTACTATAAAGAAGACCCATCAAAAGCAAATCACTAGTTGATAAAAGAAAACAAAGTTGTAATATCCCGACATACAAAGCAGATCCTATGAAAATAGTTTTCTATGAATTTTATACTGATTTAATATTTCCAAAATACATATAATTTCTTTAATCAAATGTTTTAGCATTTTATTATGTCAAACATGTAAATTGAATACAACAAAAACTTCTGTAATATATAACACACAAATCTGTAATTTGATTCAATAGTTATTTCCTAACCAGTATTTTCTATAAAAATAAATGTTTTTGATTCCAAATGCATTTACCAATCTTATCTATTTCAACAATATTAGGATTCAGCATTTCCCCCTATTTATTTGATTTAATCAGTCAATCTTTAAATATCTATATTTAAAAATTAACTGATTNTTATTACTATCTATGTTTGTAAATCAACAAATGTACTTAATTATTAAGAATTGTCATGTAAAATCAAAACATATACCTGCAATTTTACAATGATACTGTACTGTTATTTTATGTCTGTAAAACCAACTAACAAATATATTGTATTATAATACCTGATTATGCACTTACGACATCAGGTTATGTAACCTTGTTACATTAATAAATCTAAATGAATGAATGAATGAAAAATGTACTAAACCATATATATAAGCATTATATAACTAAAGTATTTCATTACTTTATAATAAAAATAAAAGAGGTATTTTCATAGTATTTATCTTGTTCATACAAACACATATGTACTGAATAAAAATGGCTTTGAATGATTTAATTATAAATTTTTTTTAACATTTAACAATAAAGGTTGAGATATATCTATAAATATCCCTAAATTTCATTCACAAATATTAGTGATTTATTACAAAATTTTAAATTTTGAATAATGAAAAAATAATTATTATATAATTATTAAAATATTATTACAGTACTAAAAAGAATAACTAATCTGAATATTGAAATAATATGGCACATGGAAAACTTTTTTCTAACAGCCGATTGTTATGATTTATCAAGAATATAGCTAACAAGTTACAATATAGTAATTGCTATTTATAAATTTATTACATAATTACGAACCTTATGTAAATGTCTAAGTTAATAAAACTATATCCTGCAAATAAATATCTAACAACAAACCTGCTGAGAAGAAGCTGGTGGAACTGGTCCAATACGATTATGAGGAGCAGGATAAGGACCTGCCTGAGGTCTTGGAGGTGGTCCTCTATAATCAAATGGAACTCTCTGTTGGGATTGATTTTGCCATTGCCTTTGCATATCAACATTAAGAGAAGGAGCAGATCTTCCTTGAGACTGCTGAATCCAATTTTTCCATCTATCGTCCTATAAAAAAAAAATTAGTATATCATTGAACTATAAATTTTATCAATACAAAAGTAAGATTGTTAAAACATGCACTATAAAAACATATTAACTTTGACAAAAATTTACCTAAGTCATATAATTATGATTTACAGAAATTTGCAAAACAAAGGATATGTTAATAAAAATCTAAACAAAAATCAAACTTCATTTTTACAACATTCAAGAACACAGAATTGACAAAAATGGTTTCTTCTGTCTGTAAATTATAAAACCTGGTCTGTAGTTAGTGCTTTTCTGATTTTAGTCTTAAGGCCAACCAATCAGAGTTTAAAAGTGCTCTGAATTAAATTGGCAGAGTTTGGAGTTTATGCATTGTTTTAGTTTTGCTTCATTTTCAGCAGACCATTCATTTTTGTATACTTTCAGCTAGTACCAGAATCATTCAATTGGATGCTTAATGCAATTGAATCTTCCAGTATAATGATGTTCTCTTTGCTGACAACAAAAATTGCATCTGTTGTGTAAAGTACAGGTACAAGGTCCTGAGAGAAGATATAAAGACTATTTGGGTGGTGCTTTTTCAAAAATGGGATCAGCCTCTTAACATATTCCTTTATGTACACTTCTTTGTTGGTGCAGAGACAAGAGCATGCTATGAATGCTCAAAATCTTCCTTTTGGATTGATTGCTAATACATGTTGTTGCCAGTAGAGAGTCACATAAGAAGGAAAATATAACAATAGCCAGACCATTTGAAGCTTTAAAATTTTCATTGCACATTTTTCTCAGTAGAGTCCTTTGCAACTTCAGATTTTTTTTTTACTTTTTGATGACTTTCACTTCTGAAGGACAATATTTTGCTCAACAGTAATGTTTTTTAATGTACTGATAAAATATTTGAACTTTCTTCCACATTTTTTTCAGTGGAATGTCTAACTTTTCTGACGCCTCTCTTTCCAATGACTCCCTTTTCCTATCTGTCATTTTAATTCTCTTTTGCCCACTTCCTGAATCTCAATAGTTTTAACCTGCTTTCCAGCTATTCTATGATGCTGTAAATTGACTGACTTGCCTTTTGCCAAAATGCTTATCTATGAAGCTTCTCTTTTTCCTCATGTTATTTGTAAAGTTCACCAACTACAATTTTTTTTCACCCTTCATTAACCTATGTCATTTTAAATTTTGATTAATATTGTTAAGACAACAAATTTAAATCTACAGAATCTGAGCAAGAATCTATACTAGCACATTCTTACATTAAAAAAAAGAAAAGCCTACCAAATTCGCACAAAGTCTTAGTTTTTATAGGCGTGTAATGTATAAAAATGTTTTATAAATAACCCAAATTAAATTTTTTTGCATTATATTTAAATAATGACTAAGTTTAAACTTTCCTTTCAAAGTACCAGCTTACCAAAAATAAAGCTATTTATTTATTTGGAAATTAAATCACTTTAATATACTAGACTTTCTTGCAATTTCTAATCATTGAATATTTCAATGACAAAAATTTTCTTGGGTATTTAATTTTATATCATCTAATCAAATTTTAGTGTCATGTTTCTCATTTAAAACTTTAAATAAAAAAAAATATTTTGCACGTGTTTTTATTGAATACACTTATGAACTTTCTTAGAGACCTTTACAGAGAGAAGTCCAACCCTACTCAAGACATGATACACTACCCCCTTTATCTCCCCACCCCATTGACTTTTAACCATCAAAATTTAATAGCATCAATCTCCCTAATATACAAACTCCCTGCAAAATTTCAAAAATTTTCAACAAAAAGCACAGGAGTTATTAATTTAATTAATTAAGCTTCAAAGAAAGTGAACAAAATTGTGCATCACACACACAGAAACCCCCCCTTTTTTTGTTGCAAATCTCAATGTTTCAAGGTCCCAAGTCCAAAAATGAAAAAATGTTGAAGGGGTCATTTTTTCAACATAATACCTTCCTTCTGTTATATATAAAATAGAGCCAGGAAAGTAAAAATTCAAAAACTTAATTTTAACAGCAGTTTTAACCCTTTATTGCTTGACGGGACTTTCTAGTCCCACTATCTTTGATATTTTTTATTTCATAGTGCATGCATTATAGCTTTCTGGGACTTACATTTTATCTAAATATATATAACTCAAAGGTGACTGACATAGTGATCTATCAACACACAGCCCAAACCACTGGACAGATCGGGCTGAAATTTGGCATGCAGGTAGATGTTATGACGTAGGCATCCGCTAAGAAAGGATTTTGATCAATTCTGCCCCCAAGGGGATAAAATAGGGGATGAATGTTTGTATGAAACTTTGTCAATTTTAAACCGATCGGGCTGAGACTTTGCATGCATAAAGCTACTATAACGTATGCGTCCCCTAAGGAAGGATTTTGATAAATTCCACCCCTAAGGGGATAAAATAGGGGATGAAAGTTTGTATAAATCTTCTTAGATTTTCGACTGATTGAACTGAAATTAAAGANAAATATACATAATTGTTAAAAATTCAATTTAAAAATAAACGGAAATCAATTACTTACTTTGAGGTCGGAGACTTGGTCCTGGTCCATACTGTGAATCTGCATTTGACTTCCGGTTGCCTTCTGTTTGTGCATCCCCACCAGCTAGCTTCGGGAATTCCTGAGGAAAAAATGGCGACTGATGGCCCAAGAAGTTCCTTTCTTGACCACCATCCTCTTCGTTTGATGTAACACTGCTCCAAGTTTTGCTTGATCCAGTACTTGCACTGGAAGTGGGTGTCTGAAAAATTAAACCAATTATGTGTGGTAATTTAATAAATAGCTAGATATTCCCTGCAAACAAATTCATTGATAGCAATTTCATGGACAAAAACTTTCAATAGGGTATTTTTAACTTATCAAAAATTTCACTTATACATGAAAATATTTTTCAATTAAGTATCATTTTTCATTTTATCAAACAACAAAATTATCTTTTCGTATATAAAAGACTTGAGAAATTTCATACTAAATCACTCAAAATATACCCATAATTAAAGCAGGTGATACACACTTATGAAGTAGCCAACATAAAAATTCACTACAGCCAAACAGATTACATTAAGCTATATTAAATAATGCAACTAATTACTAGTTAACTGTCAAGTAGTTTGGCCTAGAGGTAGACAGTAGGAGCCATCTCTTGATAAATTTAATTAATTAATTTAGAAAGTACTAAAAGAAAAGAATTGGCCTGAAATGGGACTTGAATCTGCAGCTCCCACAAAAAATAAAAAACACTTCACTTCTCATAACAGAATTATGCAAAGTAACAATTATTATTAAATTAAAATTACTGTTAATCCCAAACAGCATAAAGTAAATTTTTGTGTAATTTATATTTTCTTACAATAAAATCCTAGAACAAGTTTATATGCACTAGATGAGAAAATGACATGTTAGTAAGATTTAAGAAAACTTTTTTTTACAAAATTAAACAAGACTTCTAAATACTAAATATAAAATAATTTAGATTTAAGAAATTTTTACAATAATTTACAAAATATGAACATTTTCCAAGTTTAAACACTTTTCCACATTAGATTCTTTTTCTTTTACTAATGTTATTCATAATAATTTGCAAACTAGGTAACTCAACTTCCACTAATTAGTATTCATCTTTTAATACTTGTGTTATATTTATTTCTATCAACAGCATTACATTCAAACATCTAACAATTGCATATTTTCATATTGTTTAATACATTTTTTAAATTCTCAATTTATTGACTAATTTTATTCAATGAATGCATTCAGCAGAGTTAACAGTTATTAAATGAGCAAAGGTGTTTTAACTGGTAGCTGTTACATGGCAATGTGGATCTGCTGAATGACAAGTGACATATGCATTGGAACAGGAAGTTGGTGGCATTAGTAGTAGTTTCTGCTTTCACATTTATGAATTTATGTTTATTTAAGTTAAAGATGGAATTATTTCATTAAATTTATGTTAGACATATCTGTTTTTAGTGATTCATGAACATTTAAAGTGTGCAATGCCATAATGTTGTAAATGCCAGTAAACAAACTTTTCAGGAGAGAGGGAAAAAAACACTTTCTAGTGAATAAATTGAAGGAATTCATTTCAATTTTAAAATAAAATGGTAAAAAAATCTCACTAGGTTACAAATTCTCTGGAATAACAATGATGAAAACGTAAGTCATAACATTTTAAGTGCAAAACGTCACGACTTGCACTTTAAAACATTGTGGCTTGCACATAAATTCAACTTCAAAATACAGCCACATACAGAGCTACTATCACCACTATTTTGATTTGTTGTTTTTTTTGGCAGCAGAAAACATTGTTTAAAATCTATTTCTTCAATAAAATTATTTTGCAAATAATGGCATTTACAACATTATAGCACTGCACACTTCACTTACTGGAGTATTAATGCTGCAATGAATACCATTGTATTGATATATAATGTCTTTACTTCCTTGCATGTGCACAGCCATCATCCATCATCATTCAGTTGCAGCTAGTCCCTTGTTACACTTAGTAACCAGGGACAGGCCACTTCAAAAGTGTAATTGAGGAAGAACAACCAATCAGAATGGACAAAAGAAAGAACAAAGATCAATATAATCTTCAACAATCAAGGACACCTTGCACTTGGTTAGTTAATGTTCCAAATAACCAAGACACCATGTGTCAACGCACTAAAGGCAATTTCCCGCCAATTGTGTGTTATGAACAGCTCTACGTCATCTGAGACAACTGTTATCTCTTGTACAGATAACAACCAAGTCCCCACAAACCACCAACTTGAATCTTCATCACCAGACAAAAACCCATTGTTTCTGCCCAGGGGTTTATCATCCACCAGCCACCTCCAGCACCAAAGAACTCCTCTTATCTACTGATCAATCATCACATCTGAACACAACCTCAGATATGAATATTTGTATAGTGTAAGTTCTCCTGAATTACAATAAACAGTTTTATGTTAGACACTTGACATTATTGTCACTTCTACCACCACCCACATGCAAATAGACCCTAGATCATCACTAATGCGGAATTAACTGAATTTCCCCTAAAAGTCGGCAAACTTACGTTGATATGATGATCTATTGATTTTAAAAAAAACCTCTCTTAAAGTGGTGTAAAAGTATACAAATAATTTTAGAATATTTGCAACAATTAAGACCTCCTCAGTCATAGAAATAATTTTAAATGTTAAAACTTATTATATGAAAAAATATCACTAATGCTTCAAATCGCTAATGAAAGAATAATCTTTTAAAAACTTAAAACCCATGTTATATTATTTCTGAACTCAGTCCAAAAGCCTAGAACTTTTGATCAAAAGCAAAGATATACCAATTGTACATTACATACTCCAGGACATAAATTTTAATGTAAATACAAATGCTTTTGGCCATATTTATGGACCTTCATCAGGTAATAGAGCTGAGAACAGTTCTATCTGATGAAGGCCCATAAATATGGCTGAAAGCATTTGTGGTATAAATGTCCACTGAAACCTGATGCTTAGCAAATAGACACCCGTGATTGCCGTAAATAATCAGGCTATAATTTGGAAGTATTAATTACAAATTACAAATAAATTTGGCATTAGAGGGAGGCGTTAGGTACCATCACATATTAAATTTAATAATTATAATATTTAATTAATTTAGAATAAACTGAAAGAAAAGAATCAGCCTGAGTGGGACTCGAACCCGCAACTCCTGCTTACTGTCCAGACGCATTGCCAGTTGATCTCCTCTTCCAGTATATATAAGCTTAATGTATAACCATAGACGATTAATACAGTGCAGACTGGGGACACACCCGTGCCCTCAGCCAGAAACATCCACTCAAGGTACATCAGTCGGCCAAGAGGAGATCAGACTGAAGGGCCAAGTAATGTAACTGGCAATGCGTCTGCACAGTAAACGGGAGTTGTGGGTTCAAGTCCTGCTTTGGGCTGATTCTTTTCTTTCAATTTATTCTAAATTAATTAAATATTATAATTATTAAATTTAATACGTGATGGCACCTAATGCTGCCATCTAATGCCAGATTTATTTGCAATTCATAATTAATATTTCCAAATTATAGCCCAATTATTTATGGCAATCGTGAATGTCTATTAGCATTTGTATTTATGTCCTGGAGGAACAGAAATTAGTATAAAAGCAAAAAACACTATTGGTGTGTTTTTGCTTTTATATTACTTCATTTAAAACATCTAAGAATTCAAAATTAATAAATCAAAGACAATTCAGAGTTCATGTCCATATCATCACTTATCAAGCACATTCAACAGAAAAATATCCATGTATAAAAAGAATATACAAATACAAATCAACCCTACATTCAAATCTAAACTAAGGGAGTAAAACATTAAAATCATTAATAATAATAAATTATACAAAATAATATAGCATTATAGGGATTAGACTACACAGTAATAAAAATGAAATATGAAATTAGTAGAGGAAGAAATGAAACAAAGTTAATAAAAGACAAAATAAAATAAACACCTTAATATACACAGTACAAATTATTAATTCAATAATGAAATGAAACTACATCCATGACAGTATGTGATGTACTAACAGACAAAACTGAGGAAGTAGTAAAAATTCTCTGCTGATTCATGATTTGTCAATAATAGCATAAAGGTAGATGAACATGTGTGGCACAGAAAGAACAAGTGCTATAGAAATCACAATACCACTTATGGAAGAGTCATACATGTGGCAAATCACTGTGTTTTTTTACTGCACAACAAAAAAATTCAAGATGAACAAAAACAATTATATTCATTTAAATTTAAATGTGGTATTTTTAAATTTCCTTCTTCTTTTGATAAGAAAATGAAATTATTTAAAGAAGTGATCTAACGTTATGAATACTTTCAAAAGTTTTCTACATGGAGAGCTACTCTTAGATTCAAAATGCCATATAATGCCAACAAATCAACATTACTAGTGGCTGTTAGAAGTGTAGCAATACTGTAAATATCACAAAAGTTGGAATGACATCTACTTTCTCCAAACTGGCAAACAGTATTGAGACTGTTTCTGCAAACATGCCATTTTTTATGCACCACACATGTGTATCAATCTCAATCCTATAATGTGCTATACATTTATTCAATAATCTGCTTATTTAAAAATATATAAAACACAATATTTGATACATACCTTTTGTGAAGAAAGACCCTGTGATGCTGAAGTAGTGGATGGTTGCTGTTGCGATTGTTGCTGTGTCCCACTAAAATATATCAATCAAACATTACTTTGTTTTTATTAACAAGTTTCAAATTATGCTTTTCATTATTAAGTTAATTTTACCTTATCTCTTCTGATTTCCCCTTTTCTTTGGTAGAAGTTCCCCATCCTTGGCCTCCACTAGGTACAAGGCTTATATTAGGATTATTGCCACTGTTTTCACTTTTCAGACTAGGGAGATTAGCAGGTGGTGGCATACGGCGCCCAGCACCAACCTTCCCCAAGGACTGCAATCCATGTTTAGGTAAAACTAAAATAAAATCAAATTTATGAATTATATTTTATCATATAATAAGAAACAAAAATAAAAATTAAAACTTTTTTAAAGTCAACAATTTGGAACTATAAAAACTTTTCAGTATCCTCATCATTTTTTCATAAATTATTAATTTATGAACTAATAAATTGTTTCAAATAATGTGAAATACAAAGTTTGATCAATTCAATATAAAACATATTTTATACACAGTGTGGTGTCAAAATCCAGACAAAATTCAATTTCAAATTCCCACTGTTCTATACCACCGGTAGATGTGTTTGGCATTCAAATATCTTGACAAATGTACTAAACCATCATAACCTCAAACAGTCGCAATGTTAAAACCAAGTGCGGAGTATAGCCAAAGAGCCACAATTATCAACAGTGTTCACACTGGATATTTGGCAACAGAAATCATTTGGTTCTTCGGGTAACCAAGATCAACTGTGTATGATGTCGTCACAAAGTACAACGAGTCAGAGAAGTTCAACGAAGGTTTTACAACATCAGCAAGGAAAACTCACTTGAAGGAGCATGTTGTCAGGACGCCCAAAATCATTTAATGGGCTCAGGAGCTGATTTTTAGGATTCAGGTCAGTCAATCTGGAAATTGTCGTCTGTTGTTGGTGTGAGCGAGAAAACTATGTATAGAATCGTAGAGGAGGACCTCCACTACAAGTCTTACACAATTAAAGTGAGTCATTTGGTGCAAAATTGGTTGTTGGACAATGTTGACATGTTTTGATCAAAAGAATTCTGGGCTCCCAACAGCCCAGATTTGAATCCTTTGGACTTCTACATATGGAGCTTAGTTGAAAGGGTCACAAAAAAGTCCAGGCATCCAAATGTCACATCATTGATTAAGAGTCGCTATTGATGCGGCATTCACCAATATGGACCATGACACATCAAAGCGTGCCTGTGCACGCTTCAGACCAAGAATGGAGGCGGTCATTCAGACAGGAGGGAAATATATTGAGTAAATGTATTCTTTATGGCATTACAAACAATGTGGTTAAAAAAAATTTGTAACCTTTTTACAATAAAAAATATGTTTGGAAAAAATGTGTAATTTGGATTTTGGCACCGCACACCATATATGTATTAAATGATAAAAATATTTAATTAATAAAACTTGTAATCTGGACATCTTTTAATTAATTTTATGTTACTAGTTACAAAGAATTTTTTAGCCAGAACTTTTAAATTTCTTTCAAAACATTAAATTAAAACAACTATTATTTTATTTCTCAACATCACAAAATTTAAATCTTATATTAAACAATTTTATTTCAATGCAAGATAAACTGTCATCTATAGTAAATAGTCAGTTAAATTGAGCAAGGAAATCAAAATTTGTTAGACTATTTTAAGACTAAATAAATTTATGTAATCTATACTTTTTTTTTTATTCTAAGAGATCAATGGCATGTTATTGGACCTCTTTCCACTTAGAGATCACTAAGAGACCCAATGTTATATAAGGAAGTATGTTTTATGTCTCCCCCTCTGTGTGTGTGTGTGTGTGTGTGTGTGTGTGTGTGTGTGTGTGTGTGTGTGTGTGAAAATTAAGTGGTATGTGCAGTGAATGGCTAATGCCATGCTCTGACAGGCATCCACAGATGAATTAAAGGTCATGAAAAGTAGTTGCTGATAATCTCAGATGATAAAGTCCTCTTCTAAGAAAAACAATTATCAAAACAAGGAAAAATAGGGTGTGAAACCAGGATAGAGGTTCATCAGATGAACCATGCTCACCCAGAAAGATAGGCTTATGTATTGTTTGGCAATAACTAAGCTGTAGCTTTTAGGCTAACGCATCTGTGCATACAGATGCGTTAGGCTAGCTACAGATGCATTAGCCTAAAAGAAGGGAAAGTTTCTAGTTTGCATGCACATCATGTGCAGAGGCAATTAGACAACAGAAAAAAAGATGGATAATCAAATTATTCCAAAATAAATAATCAAAAATTAAACAACAAAAATCAGACACAGAAGGGAAAAGAAGAGAGAGAGAGTGAACCCATTATTCCACCAGTTGTAGCATCACTATTCTTGAAGTCAGAAGAGATGACCAGAGCAGAGAAGTAAACAGGTGATTCATAAATACCCTCATCAGTGGATGTGGGAGTATGCCAAAAAAAGAACAACCTAGTATCCTGCACTAGAAAGCAGTAGCTGAGATCTGGTTTACATCAGCCAGCTAAAAGGTCTGTCTATATAGACAAAAACGCACTCTTACTTAATTGTATTGTAGAAAAATACACTAAAATTCAAATTTTCTATCTTTTCCGACTTCAGAGAAAAAGATAGAAAATTTGAATTTGTGTATTTTTCTACAATACAATTAAGTAAGAGTGACCATTGATCTGACTTCATTGTTTTAAATAGTTTATTTTTTAAATATAGACAAAAACTCCTTACAAGAAAAGAAAAGCTCAAGTAAAAATCAAGGACAGAAGTAACAAGATACAAGAGAAAGGAAGAGGAAAAAAGTTTCAGCCAACAGACTAGCCAAAAAAAATCTATTCAATAAAATCCATCCAATAAACAGAGCGTTGAAAAATATATCACACTAACTTTATAATGCTTTGCAGCTATTTCGTAACATATCACAAACATTTTTTGGTCCACTCTAGGACCTTCTTCAGGTGGAGTTCTAGAGAAAACTTTTTTCATGCCCTCAAGAGTTGTTTTTCATCTTTAAAATTGATTAAAAGGCCCTGGCACTGGCCAAAACTTACAAATACAAATTTATGAAAATTCATAGCAAACAAAGTATTTGACAATACAAGCACAAGTGCTCCAATGCTCACAACAACCCAAGCAAGAGTTCACACCAATTCATAGATCAGTAGCATCTGGGCAGAAAATCTGTTGAAGCAGTTAATAGCAAAAAGTTTACAAGCAGCAGGCAATAGCAAAGGCAACTAAAAAGCATTCTATCAGAGATAGAATTACAAAAAAATATATTTCTTCAGACTATACATACAGGATGAGTCAATTTCATTTGGTTCCTTCAGACATTTTAGAGGTTATAACAATTCCACGGTGGACGAGTAGCCTACAATAAAAGGTTGACTATGTCGTGGAATTGTTATTACCTCAATAGTATGTGAAGGGACCGAATGAAATTGACTCACCCTGTGTGTATTGTCTCAAGAAATATATTTTTTTTTGTAAAAGTAAATTCGTCCAAGCAATTTTTAAAAATGTATTTAAGAGATAGAATTAATTCCAAGAGATCTGACACTTTTCTAGTTGGTTATTGAAAATGTGGTGTGTTTGCACATCAAAGCTTTTAGTAGAGTAGATAATCATTCCGCTGTGGCCAAAAATTCTGGTGAATTTGAGGTAACATTAGTAAGTAGTCAGACAGAAGTTCTAGACCCTATTGGGACTAACTGAATTTGAGCAGTAAATCAAAAAAACAAAGGGCATAGTCAACACTCAGAAAATTTTATTAAGAGAAAAACATGTTCCAGAGCAACTGAAAATTTTGGATTATTAGGGATAACATTAATTAGTTGCCAAATAGACTCAAGTTCCTTTGGCCTCTATCTAGTTGTCTGAAAAGTTGTGTGATTTTAATTTAGTCTGTTCAATAATTTAGTGGTACCATTTTTATTTATAAAATTAATGGCCATGCATGCCTTGATGTTCTTACTGTTTTTTACAGAGACTGTTTTATGTCAACCATTTGCTTGACGGAAATAATCCAGAGCAGATAGGCAATTGTCATCCTTAAGTATTACAAAAATTTTAAATATCTACAGTGCATTTACCATCCTAACAGTATTTCATGTTCTAAGCACTTTCTGAAGAAACAAACTTGAAAAATTGAATTTGAATTATTCTAAGTTTTATGCTCTAAATCAAATGTGTTTTAATCTTATGGAGTCTTTTATATAATAGATCAATTATAATTAATTAATTAATTTTAAATAACATCTAAAAGGAAAATAGTTTCAAATGGAATTCAGATCCACAAATGCAAATATTTAAGGTGTTGTCCAAACTATTTTAAGCCTTGTTTTTTGGAGGTACATATAAGTTACAATCACAATATACAATGGAACCTCACATAACGAGCAAAACAACTTGTAAAAATTGAATCACTTAACAAGCAATGTTTCACATAACGAGTGACGAGGAGAGGGGAAATCCTGGATTGTGCACATGCTACATCAGTCTGTGTTTAGCACTTGTTCCGCTAGCATCTTAGTGTCGCTCATGATCACACATTTTTCCAAACTTGTGTTNAGCTAATACTTTACATAGCTGCTTTACATGATTCAAATATTTTCGCCATGAAAACTGTCCTGTATTCAATAACTGCTTCCATTGGAAATATGCATACTATATATGAATTTACAGTAGAACGTCGATTATCCGAAAGCCAATCATCCGAAAGAATTCCAGTCGGCAAATTTAAATTTTTGCCACTGCTGTGGCGCTGCAATCTTTGGCTATGTCTTGGGCTACTCAAATATTTTACATCTTTGATTCTAAATTAACTTCTGAAGTATAATTTTTTATTGTTTTTATATTTTTCAATATATTTATTTAGTTCGTACAAAATAAAAAAATAATTTTTAACAATACAATAGTCTTCATTAGATACTACGTACCTCCGAAACCTTTAACCAATGTGAATAAATTTAACATTACTAACGTTTTCAGACCCCTCCTGGGTCCTTCTTCAGGTAAAAATCGTCAAACTAACCATTTGTTTCGAAAGAATTTTTTTTTTAAAACATCGAACGATAGAACGGCATCACGTTTGGGAATATGGAACATGTGATGCCGTTCTATCGTTCGGTGTTTTAAAAAAAAAAATTCTTTCGAAGCGAATGGTTAGTTTGACGATTTTTACCTGAAGAAGGACCCAGGAGGGGTCTGAAAAACGCTAGTAATGTTAAATTTATTCACATCGGTTAAAGGTTTCAGAGGTACGTAGTATTTAGTAAACGCCAGTGTGTAGTTGTACATTATTATAGTCTTCATTAGGCTTAACATTGACGAAAATTCAACGCAAAGCGACACGCAACGGAGAAAAATTTCAACACGGGATAAATTAATATATTTTTTCGTGCATAATCGGTTATCCGAAACATCGATCTTCCGAACAAACCCAGTCCCCAATTGATTCGGATAATCGACGCTCTACTGTATTTATAATTATTAAATTTAATACAAGATGGCAGCATAACTGCTTACCTTTAGTCAAATTAATTAATATCTAATATTTAATTATAACCTTTACATAGCCCAAGAATTTGGCATATTGTTTGGTGTCTTCATTCTTCATCAGACATATTATCTGTGATTTTTTTGTTTCCTGCAAATTAAATTTGCATTCCAGGTTGGTTCATTCCGTGCTAAAAGATGAAGATGATTCACACTTCTTAACAATGTATATTGTGTAATTTTCTTTGAATAAATGTTATACATAAAGTATTTGAGTATTTTTTCGGCATGGAATGCCTTATCATATTTTACATTAATTTCTGTGGGGAAAACAGTTTTGCTTAATGAGTGTTTTGCATTACGAGCAAGATTTTGGAATGAATTATGCTTGTTAAGCACGGTCCCATTGTATCTTATAAATTGATTGTTTCTTCCAGATATTAGTAAAATTATTAATTAAAATACTTTAACAGATATTTAGATTTGTTGTCTGAATCACATCTTCCAACTGCTTCACTGGAGAACCCAAATAATCACACACTAAAATAAATTCCAATTCTCTAGTACTCTAAACATCCACTTTTAGAGAAGTCATCTCATAAGTTCAAAATATAGTACATAATAAATCTCTAATTTAAGAAATGTTTTAAAAATTCAGCAATATCAGATTGTTGTTATTTAATTATATGTAACTTTAGATTTACTAAAAAAGCTTTCAACTTTCTTGGTTTTTAAAAAAATGGTAATCTGCTAATCTCATTAACCAAATTTACTACTTTAATTGGATAAAGGATAACTGGTTTCAGTTCATAGAATCTCCTTTTAATTAATTTGTGTTTTAATAAATAAATTTTTTATTCATCACTGCCTACAGAAAGGAACCAGCTTCAAAGTACAATCAGGAGTAGGAACATAGAGCAAAAACCAATTGTCAAAAACTTGTTGATGTTCAGCTGTGCACCAATGATAAAGTATTGGTGCAAGATGACATACATACTGTCCTGAAGACCCAAAACAAAAGACTGGAATAAAATTTTACCATTCCACTAACAAGTCAGATGTAATAAAACAATTACTGGATTTAAATTGGGCTACTTTACTGCTTCTATTAATAATTACATAGTATGTTTAAATCCAGTAATGATTTGGTTTCATTATAAAATATCAGGCTTTGAGATGTTTATATATGTATGAAAGTCAGATGTACTGTACTACCCAAAGTTGGGTTTGTATGAAAAGCTAAATTTTTGAAAAAGTACTGAATTAATATGGTAGACAATTGATGAATGTACACACATCTGAACCTTTCATTTCTTGTGAATCTGTCAAAATTGATGACAGCATTAAAAAACACTTGATTCCCTTCATACAAAAACACCATAACATGGAAGATTTGGTGTTCTGGCCAGATGTAGCAATGGCCCACCATTATGCCCTCAAAATTACTAACTATCTTATAATGTCTCAATAAGCCTCATCATCAACTCAGCAGAATAGCAGCAAAGCTTTTCAAAAGTTTTTGGCCTACACCAATGACATTCATTAGAAAACAAAACAGTTCTTCTAAAATGGAATGCTTGAAACATGCACTTGAAACATACAATTTGATTGTATGAAATTTGACATTTGAATGTAAGATTTATTGAGACATTATATGATAGCTATCCAATTCCAAGTCTAAAGTTTTTTTAAAAATTATACTGACTACCTTCAAAGTACTGGGTGTGAGTTTGGGGAAAAAGAAAAAAACATCCAAATGTACCCCAGGTCTATCTCATTGAGAGATTTCGGGCACTGTAAAAAACAATGTGCCTCTAAAATAACGATCGACAACCTTCTTATAAAATCGATCTATCGATCATTTTTTTTTAAACATTTCGAATCGAAATGTTTAAAAGCAATGTGCCTCTCATCCTCGTAATATCAAGAACTTTAATTCATTCACGTGAATTTGGAGAAATATAAACACTGGGAAGAGATGTGGTACTCATGGCAGTGAGCAAAATTGAGATTTATAGAGTGAATGTGTCTAGGGACCATTATTTTACAAAGAGCGAATCTGAACTTACACATGAACTATCCAATGAACAAACCTGATCTTTGTATTATCATTTGTTCTAATACAACAATATAAATTTAAAATGATTCTCATTTTTGAACACTCCTTAAGAGTGTGAAAAGCAAAGAAATTCTACTCTGATAAAGAAGTAGGTGTGCAATTAAAAAAAATTATGAAGTTGGGGTGCTACTACCAGGAAAACACTGCTCTTGGCGATACAATTATCAACTTTCTTAATATTTTATTCTGCTAGAAATAAGGCTAAATGAAAATCAATTTACTCCTAATACACAAAATCATCATGAAACATCCATACTTGAAAATGTTAACTTAAACTTATAAATCATCAGTTTGAGATTCTAGATGAACATGAAACTGACTGACAGCTGTTTTTAATGTAATTTCTGCTCTAACAGATCTAAACACCTCATATCTTGATAACAAGTAATTCATTATTGGAAAGTTATTACCTGAACTGTTTGTTGGAAGGTTTGCTGTATTTTATTTTCAATGTAAGCACAGACATATTATCTTATAAATTTTTTGTGAACAAATTTTCTGGAGTTATATATTTACATTATAAATACATCAAATATATTATTTTTGTAAAATATCTGCAATCAAATTTTTAAAAAATTCAAGGGAATGCTTTTGTTCAAAAACTTTTATTAAAATGAAAAAAATTACACACACAAAAACCAGTGTTTTTAGGAAAATACTTAGAATCTAATAGGATGATTGGATTTACAAACATTAACTGTAAAATGTTAATTATTTTACCATAGTTTTTTTTAGCGATGTAATAAATTTTCCCATTATTACAACATAAACATCCAAACCTGATCATTACACATTAAAGCAAATAGCTTGATGGTTATATCAGGCTACATTGCTACTATTATTAATTAAATCCTAAGTAATTAAACAAATTTTCCTATCATAATAGATAAATTTAATACATTTTTACATGTATTTAATTTTTACATAAATACAATTAATCGCCTAGTTAATAAAAATTATTATAATATAAAAAAACCAAGTTAAAAAAAAATCAGTTCTTACCTGTGGCTTTAGGATTTTCAAGACTTTTTCCTTTGTATAAGCTATTTATGTCCAAAGCTACATACTTCGACTTTCCTTTCTCCCCCTTTGCTGTGAGCCCCGAGACTGCAGACATGCTGACCACAAGTCATTGAGTATATTAAGCACTGCACCCAGGGAACGGTCCGCTCCCTAAATAATTTTCAAAATATAAAGAGTTGATATTTTCTGTAAAATTAATTCCAGAATGCAACATATTAAATTACTAAAATTAGTCACACAATTATTAATGTTAACATAAAAATTCCATTGAAACCAAACCAAAATAATGGCAATTTAAAATTAAATAAGCATATTTTCATATTGCCATAAGCAATACTAAAAAGGAAATTATAAGAACTCAAGCACTTCAAATGACAGTTAAGACCAGTTAAAAATAATTTATATTTGATTATCAAACATTAATAACTCTACTTTAAAGTGATGAATAGTCATTATTTAAAATTGCTAAATCTGTTGGTAACTGATTGAGTTAGCTCAACAGTGTATCAGAATAGTTTTACAAATGTTAGCTATCAATTTGTTATCCAATAATTTTTTTATACCTTTGATACTAAAAATATTTTAAATAAATTTATTGCGACAGTCTACCCTCATTTGATTTTAAAACAGGTAGAAATAATTCACTATTAAATAAATCAACTAAGGATAATTTATCCTATTAATGAGCATCATATAATAAGTTATAAAATTTCAATAAACCAAAAATACCGTGAATACAGTGAGAGGGAATTTTATTCTATAAGGCATAATAATATAGACAACAGATTTCCCCCCACATTTTACAATTTAAATGATGTGTCAAAATATGCAAAAAAAATCAAAACATTATAACTAGATATTACAATTAAAATTTTAAATATTACAACTAGATCTTATTACATACACTTTATGTACAGAACACACTTTGAAGGCAGAAGGAGTAAATGCAGAATTGTATTTTAAAATTTTATTATTAAGCAAAAATATTAGTTTGTTTTTGGGAAAGTAATGTAGAACACTGATTAAAAAGTTTTTCTTCTTGTTACTCATCTTGGTAAATGGAGTTCCCTGTTTCTCAGTACATTTTTGGTGAACATTCTACATTAGGATGTTGCCCATTATTTTTACTTAAATTCACAGACATGAAACATTCCATCAAGTTGTTTTAATGTGAATTCTTTCATTACTCTAACAACCAACAGCAAAACTGAATGTATTGAAAATTGAATATATTCTAAAATTAGAATACAATTAACTAACCTAAAGATGACCTTCAAAAATATTAGCTTATTCATTAAATATTTTTCCTTGCTAGATTCTTGGTAATATTCTTGTTAATTTAATCCTTCATTGCTGTCTTATTATTTCATCATCTCCAAAGCTATCATTACCCTGATTTTTGTATACTTGTTCTACATCCAGATTAGTGAGTTCTTCATTGTTAAGGACATTATCATGGACCAATTCTAGGATGATCATTATCCTTATCTATTTTAGTTAATCTTAGAGCCAATATGAGTTACATAATTTCATCTACATCACAGTTAATTTCAGAATTGAACCCTTTGAAATCATTTGTGCATTTAGGAATAAGTTTTTTTTTTTTTTGCCAAATGGCTATCATATTAATTATTCTAACTTCTTCCTATGATTTACTAAGTCAGAATAAATTGAATTTCAAACAGAATGATCACATTTGCCGCCTCCACAGTTTGTTGTTTTAAACTGATCAATACTGCTGTTGAGACTGGACAGTTATAAATCTAAAATGTGGGAATGAAATGTGTCCTGATAGTTTTTAGTCTAGAACAACAACAAACAGTCAATTGGCTGATCAGATATCAAACTGATTTGACTAACCAGTTTAACAGTCCTTATCCTTTAAAGGTCCTCAACATCTTCATTTTCATCATTTTCCTCTGTTTTGTCCAAGTCTTTTTGAAGTAATTTTTGTCCCTTGTTTTTAATATGCAACCATCAAAATTAAGAAATTAAATGATCATAGAAAAAGTATCATCACTCTTTCTATGCCAGTAGAAACTTGATCCAAGGAATAGAGCATTTCTCTTAAATCCTCTTCATCAAAAACCTGCATTCAAGAATCCTAATAATAGTTGGAAACCAAAAGCAGATAACCTTTTTTTTCTTTGCATGCAAAACAGTGAGAAAAAGTTTATGTTGTTTTGCATGTACAGTACTAAAAGTAAATTTAACTTGATAACAGTATTATAAAGACAAAGCTACGTCTTTCTGTAACAACTCTTGGAAATTTATCTAGTTTTCAATACCCTTAACTATATGTAGTCGTATTTACCATTTTTTATGTTTTTCATTACTGTACAATTTTCATGTTTTTGAAGAATCTTTGTATACAGTATTTGTTTCTTTAAATACTGAGAGTAATCAATGAGTCTATATGAAGTAACAAATCAAAATTAAAGAATTAAACTATAATATTTACTTTTTGCATTTAGCATATACTAGGTAGCATGATTTTTCAGTTTTGTCATTCTTCAATTTTATTGCCCATTCTTTTTAAGTACAAAATGGGTAATAAAAAAAGGGACAAGTTTACCAAAGGACACAAAGTTTAGTTTTTGTGTGTATGAAAAAAATAGGAACAAGCACATTTATTAAGAATAGCCACATTATTTGCTATCATCTCTTTGAACATAGTATTAAACAAATAAATTTTGATATATTTTGTGAGAATTCACAAAAATACACAAACTAATTCCCTTATTGCTAATCTTTTTCGATCAATAATAATAAATTATTATTGATCGAATATTATAATTTATAATCATAATATTCAGTATAATTAATACAACAGTATAATTTATATTCAGGTATATTCTTCAGATAATAGATATCCACAATTGCCATAAGTAATCAGGCTATATTTTGGAAATAATAATTATGACTTACAAATAAATCTGGCATTAGAGGGAGGCGTTAGGTGCCATCTCGTATTAAAATTAATAATTATAATATTTAATTAATTAATTTAGAATTAACTGGAAGAAAAAAATCAACCCAAAGCGGGACTTTAACTTGCAACTCCCATTAACCATGTGAACACATTGCCAGTTATGCTACCCGGACTTTCAGTCCATGAACACGTAACTGTTTCTGGCTGAGGGTGAAAGTGAGTCTCCAGTTGGAGCTGTATTAACCATCGATGGTTATACATTAGGCTTATACATACTGGAAAAGGAGATCAGACCAAAGGTCCAGGTAGCATAACTGGCAACGCAACTGCAAAGTAAGCAGGAGTTGCGGGTTCAAGTCCTGCTTTGAGCCTATTCTTTCCTTCCAGTTCATTCTAAATTAATTAACTAAATATTATAATTATGATTGAAAGTGTGTTATCGCTTATCCGGATATTTAAAATAAACTATGATTCTATAAAACTATAAAATTATAAACCTGTTTGGAGAAACACATGGATTTCATATAGATAAAACTATAAAAAATCTAGCACTCCTCCTCTTTAATTTTTGCACCATAACTATTCAGCTGCAGAAAAATCTACAACCAAGCATAATAAAGTGCAAAGAATTCATTTAATCTAAAATCTAAATGTAGTTAATTTAAATTTCATTTTAAATTTGATTATTCAAGATATACACATGCTACATATCATTTGAAAATGTGACAGGTCTAATTTCATAAGCAAAAATAGTTTGCTTATAACTTTGTGAAAATCTGTTGAAATATTCTTATACTAAGGACTAATTAAATACAAATGAAATCTTTTATCCAGTAACAGCACTTCAACGAAAACTGAAATGTTTTCAGCCTTCACCAAAACCTGCCTTAGGATTTTTAACAAAACTGAATTTCCAAAGTCAAATGTCAGAAAGATGGTGTTTGAAAATCACTTTTTTATAATTTCGAATATCTCATCACGTGAGGCAAATTCATACAGTTGTTCGACAAAAACCGTAAATATGCACTCATGTGATCCATACCAATTTTTTAAGCCATAAATATTGTATAAGATGAAAATATTATGGGTTAACTTTGCTCAACTCTTTCATACATGTACTTCCATGCGTGCACCATCGTACTGCAGTCCTTAAAGTTAACACAATTGCTGGTTAGGCTGGCTTTATATATTTCGAATGTCTTCATGCTACAAATATGATCTGTTTGAAAGGCCTGCCTGATTAACTTGGCGTTCTGGAGGTCTGCATGTACTTCCGGGTGGGTAGCATACATGGACTAGGCAGTGGTATGCCTGTTGTTCCCAAGGTTGTATTGATGTTTACGTACCCTTTTACGTATTGATTGTTTGGTTGAGCCGATATAGACTAAGTCCCTTCAAAATCTATCGTCTCTTAGAGGTATAGAGTACACTCCTGGGACTCTGGTTTGATCCATTTTATCTTTTGTGTTGCATAGCAACTTGTATATTGTACCGGATCTCCTGTATGCAATTTCTGTACCACTCAATTACAAAAAACAATTAACTAGAACCAGTGAATCAGGCTTACTATACTCAGCAAGTTTAACACTCTAAAATGCATTTCAGCCTTTCTAGCCTTTTCAATTGGATTACAAACAGTGATAGCAATCTCCCCTCAAAAAAAAAAAAAAGCTTATGATAATCAGAGCTAACATTACTATTAATCTTAGATGTACTGTACAATAATTTAGTTTAGAATTACAAATATAATATCTAGATCAATAACTTAAATTACCTTGTAATCATTTACAAATTGGACTAAGGAACATATTAAAGTATATAGACAAAACCACTCAGTTGTTCAAATTACAATTCAAGACAAGGGAAAAAACCTTAACATGCATTTTGGGAAGTGTTAATTAAATTTGCAGTGAGTATAAGAAGTCTGATTCATTGGTTCTAGTTAATTATTATGCTTTTTGTAAACTATTACATCTGTTTCTTCGTTTATATGTTAACTAGTAAATTTTCCCATCAAGAAAGACAAATTATATGATGTTTAGTAAATTAAAAACCAAGTGAAATAACTTGCTAAGTACAATAATATTTTAATTTAAAAAATCGTGTAAATCACAAACTTCTTCAAAAACAATATTTCTTATAGACATGTGTTTAATCATCATTATAAGTAATTTTATTTTCATAAAAATACTATTGGCTGAAGGCAATGCAATTTTAAAGTTTTCTTGATTATTTTTTTAACG